GCCACAAGTAGCAAGCGCGGCTACAACTACCACTAGTACCATCAACGACGACTTAATCAAGCAAGTCAGTGAACTAAGTAAGCAGGTTGCCAGACTTACTACCAGGTTGACCAACAGAGATGTAAACCGTTCACGTCCACGCTCACGCTCACAGTCCCGCAACAAGAGGTATGATTCTTTTAATAGACATAGACCGCAGCAACCACCACCGAATCACCCACATTGTTTCTACCACTACACTTACGGTGAAAAGGCAAACAAGTGTAGGCAGCCCTGCACATTTACGTCGGAAAACTGCATGGGCGGTCGCAAGTAGCGGCCAACGACTGCCCAGTACTCACAGGCCGTCTATTTGTTACTGACCGGACATCGAAAATGCAGTTCCTGGTGGACACTGGCTCTGACTTGTGTGTTTTCCCCCGGTCGGCTGTAAAGACGCCCTGCTGTCGTTCGAAGTACACCTTAGTAGCTGCAAATAACACTACGATCCACACTTATGGCCCTATATCACTACGCCTCAATTTAGGACTAAGGCGAGATTATGTTTGGAATTTCACCATAGCTGATGTGGCAAAACCGATAATTGGAGTCGATTTCCTCATCCACTATAATTTACTTATAGACTGTAGAAATCAACGCCTAATCGACAACATGACATCACTTTCAGTCGCTGCGGTACACAACACCTCAAACGAAGAGATTGTTGCTGTTAAGGCTGTGGTGGGCAACACAGATTACCACGAGCTTCTCCGTGAGTACCCTGAGATAACACGACCTCCAGGCAAACATATTACGGGTAAGCACAACACTCTTCATTATATTCGAACGACACCAGGTCCACCGGTCTCTAGCAAACCCCGACGGCTAGACCCAGCTCGAACAATGGCAGCCAAGAAGGAATTTGAGGAGATGCTTGCGTGCGGGATAGCTAGGCGTTCAGAGAGTGCATGGTCAGCTCCCTTGCACCTTGTAAAGAAAAAGGACGACGGATGGAGACCTTGCGGTGACTACAGAGCCTTGAACGCGAGAACGGTACCGGACAGATACCCCATCCGACACATACACGATTTTTCTCACCAACTTTCGGGATGTACCATATTTTCAACAATAGACCTTGTAAAAGCTTTTAACCAAATTAAAATAAATCCGGAAGATATACCGAAAACAGCGATAACTACACCCTTTGGCCTTTATGAGTTTTCGTTTATGACATTTGGTTTACGTAATGCTGCACAAACCTTCCAAAGATTTATCGATGAAGTCCTTCTAGGTCTAGATTTCTGCTACGGATTCGTCGACGATATTTTACTATTTTCCCCCTCCCCAGAAATACATAAATTGCACCTACGTCAGCTGTTCGACCGCCTGAGAAGCTACGGCATCGTTGTCAATACTTCCAAGTGCAAGTTCGGCCAGCCAGAGGTGGAGTTCTTGGGCTATAGCGTCTCAGCTAAAGGTACGAAACCTCTTGCATCTAAGATTCAGGCTATTCAAGACTATCCTTTTCCAAAGACTGTCAAAGAGCTGCGTCGAGTTCTGGGGATGGTAAACTTTTACCGACGGTTTGTACCTAAGGCTGCCCACCTCCAAGCTCCTTTAAATGCTGTCTTAGCAGGCCCAAAAGTTAAAGGATCTCATCCAGTTGATCGTGCCCCACAGCTGTTAAAGGCTTTCGAGGACTGTAAAACTGCACTATCGAGTGCTGCATTATTGGCTCACCCCGATACATTAGCTGAACTGGCGATCGTTACCGATGCATCTGAGTCATCGATTGGAGCTGCACTTCAACAGCGAAAAGGTGATGCATGGCAACCACTTGCCTTCTATTCGCACAAACTCAACATCGCCCAGAGAAAATACAGCCCCTATGACCGAGAGCTGTTGGCTGTATATGAAGCCATTAAGTATTTCCGGCATATGGTGGAGGCAAGAACCTTTGTAATATTTACGGACCACAAGCCACTGACCTTTGCTTTCAAATCTAACCGGGATAACTGCTCACCCAGACAGTTTAGGTATTTAGATTTTATCGGGCAATTTACAACTGACATACGGTATGTTCCTGGTAAGGACAACGTCGTGGCAGACGCACTGTCACGAGTGGAGGAAGTTTCGGGTGCTGTTGATTTCAAAGACCTCGCAAGATATCAGGAAACCGATCCAGAACTGCAAGATCTGATCAAACGTGGCTCAGCACTGCAATTGAAGAAAGTTGATACCCTATTTGATAACGTCACCGTATATTGCGATGTATCTACGCCCACACCTCGTCCATACATCACTCCTCAGCTGCGAAGACAGGCCTTCGAATCTCTACATAACCTGCACCATCCTGGATGTACCGCTACAGCGAGACAAGTGGCACAAAGCTTTGTGTGGCCTGGAATTAGAAAAGATTGCAGAGAGTGGGCTAGACAATGCCTGCAATGCCAGTCAAGCAAAGTATTCCGCCACACGATTTCTCCACTTTCCGCTTACCTGACTCCTTCTCAAAGATTTAGCCATATCCATATCGACATCGTAGGTCCTTTAACCCCTTCTTTTGATTACAGGTACTGCCTTACTGTGATTGACAGGTTTACCCGGTGGCCCGAAGCATACCCACTGAAAGAAATCACAGCAGAGACCTGCGCAGCGGCCCTGGTATCGGGCTGGATAGCTAGGTTCGGCTGTCCGGCGCGCGTGACTACGGACCGCGGCAGACAGTTTGAGAGCCACCTATTTAAGGCCCTCACTGCCTTGGTTGGTGCACGTCATCTTCACACTACTGCTTACCATCCAGCTGCCAACGGCATTGTCGAACGACTGCATCGGCAACTCAAGGCGGCGATCATGTGCCATACTTCTTTACAGTGGACTGAATCTCTTCCATTGGTACTACTGGGTATGCGTAACGCATGGAAGGAAGACATTCAAGCTACTCCAGCCGAACTGGTCTACGGAGAAGCCCTGCAACTGCCTGGACGATTCCTGTCTTCAAAGGAAGAATACACTGCAGCTGATGTCTCCCAATATGCTTGCCGTCTGCGTGCCTACATGGCTAATCTTACCCCCAAACCAGCTTCATGGCATTCTTTTTCGCCATTTTATATACCCCGAAACCTGCATTCCTCTTCTCACGTCTTCCTAAGACGTGACCATGTGCGTAGTTCTCTTGAGCCACCTTACGCTGGCCCTTACAAAGTTATACAGAGACACCCAAAATATTTCACAATCAAGGTGCATGGGAAGCTCACCAACGTCTCTGTAGATAGACTCAAACCTGCATATCTGATAAGAGAAGATAACACAGCTCCTCATGTGCAAGCTACTCCCACTACTGCAACGCCTGCAACTTCTACGGAGAAGACTACACGAAGTGGAAGACGAGTCAGATTCCCTAATTATTATCGACCGTAGCAACGGTCTGGTCGGGGGGAATATGTGGCGAGTACAAATATTTTAGAATGGAACCTTTCACAATACCGAGTTGCAGCGAATCGCTCCGCCTATGAAGTTTGGACCAAGCGCTTACACATGCGAACTCGACTTGTAAACGAATGATGCCCTTGGACGGCGTTGGAGGGCACAGCGGCGCAGGCGCTTCTAGATCATTCGGGCCTCGACTCTCGCCACGCGTACTGCTAGCTTTTGACCATTTATACTTGTTACTTACTTGTAATCTTTAGTGTAGTAAAGCTTTTAGAATCTTGATTATCAATTCATTTTGGCCTTTCTCATTTTTATTTCATTCTCACCCAACATTCATTATTATCATTCTGATATCCTAATCAATTGCTAAATAATATTCATTTCTTCGCGTTGCTTACGAAGCTTCGAGCCTTATACCTGTGCAGTGGAATTATACCGGCCTGATATAATTCTACATACTTATGGTTTGTTTCGTAATTACTAAAAAAAATGTTTAGTGGAAAATTTAGAGCCTATAGATAGATAGAATAGCTTGGTGATTTGAGATGTTGAATCTAGTGGAGAGATCATTTAACTGTTGGCAACACTGCTAACACACTGTTGTTCGGCTACCAGGTAGTAAACTAAGTCAAAAAAATTTGTCCTGTCAAATATTAAGTTTTCAGAATAGAAAACGTTGTTTGACAGAACTAAACATATTTTTAGTGATTTTTAGTTTAGTTTAGAGAGTTTTCGAACAACAGAATTAACACCTGCTTTGCCTGCTGAAGAAACTGCTTTTTCAAACGAAAACTTCTCAAGTTTTTAGATTCAAATGCATTCTTACAGTTTCTATCATTTTGAAGTTACGACAAACAACAACGACAAATCTCAACCTCTGCCTGAGTTCGTACAATCTTCCCAACATATTACCTTTCGACAGCCAACGAACTTCTGTGTGAAAGACAAGTGCCTCATGGTCTGAGTCCATTTCAGTGCATAGTTTTTTAAATGGGCATGTGTTTAAGGCCCTGCTTTAGATTACATTTACCACTTTTACGGCTGATTCCGTTGTATTCTTAAGACAGCCAGGAAGTCTTTGATGCTAACGCTTGACGGTGTATGGTACAGTGCGTTGTTATAGCTTTAGATTCTTCTTCTGTTTCATTACCGTCGCCAGACCGGAGCGTCATCCTAATATCGCTGGAGCATAATGGTAGTTTTTTTTAAATATTCCGATATTGTGTTCATGACTTCGATACCTTTTAATGTTGTTACCAGATCTCGGGAAATCAATCATTCTCCTTTGATTATATTATCTTCGTGTAAAAATCGGACAAATTCAAGCAACTGATGTCTACTCTCCAGAGCAGCACCTCTATGTGGCTGTCAAAACCAAAGACAAAACTATAATAATACGTCAAGCTGACAAGACAGCCAAAACTGGTGAAAACAAGCAGTGATAAGCGGCGGGAATGTAACGGTATCGTTTATTCTCTATTATACCGGAGCGTATCCTGTATCATAATAAATAAAATGTGCTGTGTGTGTGGTGTAGAGTGAGTGGTGGCTTTGTATTCGGTTTCTAACAGGAACGTGTTTGAGTCACGATGAGCGGGTCGAAGTTCTACATATGGGGCGGCGGGCGATGGCGTGAAGTAAACACCGCGTCGGGTGAGGTAGCCGGATGGTCCCGGCGCCCTCGCTTTGTATTCGCCAGGCGCGGGCGCCTGCGCGTGGCGACGAAGCGCAGGGTATTGGTCGCGTTGCAGGCGCATGCCGCGAACCTGCCTAGCGCCGTCGAGCTCGGGCCCCGATTGTCCGTATTGAGGTAGATACAGAACCCAGGATATTTTGCATTTTCATTAAGAAACTATAAGTATTCTGGAGATAAAGATTACAGCACAATTTCAATTAAATCATTATTTAATCAGTTCTGGAGTATAGTTCTGTTCGTGCAGCTAGTATATTGTATGTAAGTATCTAGCTATCCCAGAACTTCACTTAACCAATATCAGTCAGTCACTTATATCGGTAACATGATTTGTTTGTAAAGATGTATGCGTGTGGAGCTGCAAAATAATCAATGTGTGCAACTTCTATGTCTAATATTTAAGCGACATGTACCTGTATGTACGACATGTACCATGTACATGACATGTCCAAAAATGCGTAATGATGTAAAGCATCTAGGTGAAGCCTATGTGAAGGTGTCCAATTCCAAAGTGGTCACACAAATATTAGAAATATAAGGTTCAAACAGAATGTAGAAAACTAAATGAAAGCTATTGTGTTGTTATAAGAGGCACCTTTAGTGGCTTACTTACTTAGTGGTTAACTTACATTGTGTGTGTAATGCATGTGTTGTGTGTGCGTAGGAATGAGCCGCCACCAACTCCCACTGTGAGGGCTCTGCCGAGTGTGCAGCCTGTCCATCCCATGTGTGCACATCATCACTGTTGCATCTACTCTCATGGGTGAGTTGTAGTTTTATGTGTAAGTTAGAATATCCTACTCGTACATATAAATAGATGTCGAGGTATAAACAAATTCAAGCTAAACCTTAGCCTTAGGTTTACCTCACTGTAGAAGTTGTCAGTATAACATACAGTGATATGTTCTTATGAAATTTATCTTAAAGTACGACGTTGGTAGTGGAACAACAATGTGTTAGTGAGATTGGAGGTGTGGAGGAACGGGTGTCATGTCCCTCCAACACAAAGGGAGGATCCTCCGACCAGGCGAGGTGATCATGCCTGGCGGGCCGTGGCCCAACGGCTGATGTTGGGCAGTTGTATATATGCTAATCGGCGAGGGAATTCTTTATATCGCGATACAGGATTAGCAATTCTTATTTTAGTAGTTACTCCGTAGTTCGGTGTGTCTTCATTAGATGGCATTGTAGTATGTTTCTGTTTTTTGTATGTGGGAGTCGCCACAGAGGTTATAGTCAGGTGTCCATGTAAACCTATAAATAAATATAATCTTTGGTATTTGTTCTCACTATCACCAAAATAACCACCAGCTGTATAACTTCTTCATGCTTCAAATAAAACATTATTGATGTAACATTTATACCAGTACCTTTAACAGTGCCAAACAGAGTGTGACAAAATTGTTTATAATCAATTTGACAAATAAAAATAATCTCAAAGCACCCTGAGCTGCTCCACACCAAGATGTAGCCATCTTTGATGAAGTGATTGAAGTGTTTAATTGGCTGTTGTTTTCTGCTGTCACATCAGTCCAAGCACAGTGAACAGGCACTCTTTAAAATGACCTAAATATTAATCAACTGTAAGGTAACCCGCCCCCCTTCATGTTTCAGGCTTCATAACAACAATTTCGACAAATGCAATCACAATGACGCCCTCATCACAAGCAATTGTTCCACAAAAAATGGAACCGCTGGCCTTGCTATATTAAAGGGAGCGTCCCTCACTAACGGATCGGATGCGGCCGTTCAGCACCGCGCCACCGTCGACGCCGCCGTGCAACACTCTGCCGGTGATCACCACACGCTCTCGATCAACCTTGAAGCGACGAACTTTTCACGACTCCAGCGACCTCCGCAAACCCACAGATGTGATCCCAAGCACAATACGGCGGCGAGCGGCGTCGCAAGAAGCGAGGGCTCCCGCCCCCGCGCACCTCCGCTCCACAACTTACTCGGCCCAATGAAACGGCATCGTTCCGCTTTATCAGATAGTGACGACTCGGAGCAACATTTCGAGCCGGCGAGCGAGACGAGACGCAGCCAGAACGACGAGCGGTCAACGAAGAGAACTCAGAAGACCGCTTCGAAGACTAAAAGGAGAGAGACGGGTGAAGGAAGAAAGAAACGCAGATCGGAGAGTTTAAGCGACGAGAACCCAGAGGAAGCGTGCAAGGAACTGACGATATCCGAGTCGGACGTGCTGGCGCTACGCAGCTTGGTGCAGCGGACGCGGAGCGACGCCCTCGAGCGGTTCGACGCCGACGACGACTACAAGCGCATGCTGTTCTACGCGATCAACCCGCTGGTGCACGTAGAGCGGTGCCCGCTCACGGAGCGCGCGCTGCGAGAGCGCCACGCGCTTGCGCTGCCGCAGTTCGCCGCCCGCCTCGGCCTCACGCCCACGCCCACGCCCACCGGCGCCGACGCCGACAAAGAAAACAAACGCAAACCGGAGAGGCGAGTGCTGAGAAGTAAGAACGAGAAGCGGCGGACCGCGGCCCACATCGATGGTCCTTCCGAACTGTCCGATAGCGACGACGAACTTGAATTGTTTCAGAATTCTCGTGGCAATAAAATACCAAATAGTAAAAATAACTTGCGCAAAAACATAAGGGACCTCGTGTCGTTACGGGACAGTTATAAATATAAACGTTTGGTAATTAGTGACGACGGCAAAGGCGATAAGAACCGACATTCCCCTCGTCTCGCAACACACACAAAGAGTAATCGTAACTCAGGTCGCGCAGCGTCTTTTAAAAAGTCTGAAATTCTACGTCAAAAGGACGAAAACGAATTGGAATTAAATTATAAATCTAATATCGACAAATTTGGAACACCTATAGAGAGCAGACGTGAAAACGCATCCGAAGACAACAAGCGTAGGTCGTTGCGTCGCTCGACTCTGATCCAGAGCAATCGTGTCGAGGATGATGCAGGGAGTGACGAAAAACGCGAAACGCTTAAAAATGGTGAAACTAGCCGCCCGGCGAGTCCCGCCCCTAAGCGCAACAAGCGCGAGAGTTTGCCTCGTGATCTCGTGGGGACACCCAGCGACACCACAGACAGTTCCGATAGCGGTGACACGGTCGACGAGCGCGAGTCGTCGCGAACTAAGAGAGTGACGCGACGCCGACCCGACTCCGACAGTGACGAGGAACGAGAAACGGTAGTCGACAGCGGCAGAGGAAGCGAACCGAGCGAAGAGCGCCGGTCGTTACGTCACAACTCTAAGCCGGAAAAACGGGACACCGATAGCACCAGGAAAAGTAATCGCATATCAGTCTCTGCGATCACTAAAAGCTACACCGAGCGCTCGGCCAGTGAAGCGGACAGCGCCTCCTCCCTAGAGAAGTCCGTAACTCAGAGGAATTATTCAAAGATTTCAGCTAAACATGTTCCGAACGGTAGGACAAGTCGCGCGGGGACGGCCACAGCTGATAACGAAGGCGCGGCGGTGTCCGAGCCTGCTAAACTGGTGAAGCCTTCAGTAAAAGCCGCGCCGAACATAGCGCGGGCGCCGCCTGCGCCGGTGGAGGTGGCGGCGGAGGCGAGCGCCGCGCACGCGCACACGCACACCATCAGCAAACGGTAACTATACGACATGTCGAGTTCTGTGCTCGGCCCACGTCACTGCCACTCGGTTAGGTTTGCTCCCTTTTCCGTTTCTATTTTCCCTTGATTTTTATCAGTGAGTCACGTGACCGTTAACACCAATCAGTAAATGTGCGGTGCCCAATAGTACTGACAGCTTACCTATTCACTAATCAGCTGCCTTGCTTGTCTTGTCTTTAGTTGCCGCCAAAGGAGAAATAATAATTTGGTGTAGATAAGTGATTTGAATGAGTGACGAGCTGTTCAGGTTCTGTTGTGAACTTCTGAAACAGAAATGTTAAACTTGACGCCTACAATAAATCATCTAACGAAATATGAAGCGTTCTGGCGAACGATGACCACGTGACCATAATGCCGCGTAACGATCTATTATTTATTTAAAATTAAAATAAATTTACTTTACGAGTATTATTTTAAACATAATGCAACATTTAAAACTATTTTAGAAAAGTAGTCAGTCCCCGGGTTGTTCGAGGGATAAGTGTATGAACACATATTAATACGTGAACGCGTGATCAGCATATCTGAATAATAATATGTCAAGCGTATTCTTTTTATCGCTTTTTAAGCAGATTTCACATTCGAATGTGAACCTCCAAGGTTACACTGGAGTTATAAAAAGCGACAGACTCGGAGAGAGTGAAAAGTTCCAAACCGGTGGTCACGGTCACGGTTTACAAATACTGGGGACGTTCGGTTGCAGGGCGTCGAGCGGCAAGACGAAGGAGTACTCGAACCTGGAGGACCACGCCATCGTGGCGTGGGTGTCGGGCGGGGCGCGCGCGCGCAGGGTCAACGGCAACGCGCTGTGGCGGGAGCTGCAGGACCAGTACCCGCGCCTCACCGGAGTCAGTGAGTCCACCGCTCGCCATACTCGAGCTCAATAACGAACGCACGTGACAGTTGTGTACACGGTCCGCTGTGCTGCAGGTCGGTCGTGGCACTCCCTGCGCAACCGCTACCTGCGCTACATCCTGCCGGCGCTGGGCGCGCTGCGCCTGCCGCCCGCCGACGTGTCGCGCCTGCGCGCCGCCGCCGCCGCAGGTCAGTGCCGAGGGCGCTCTGTCCCCTCCTTCCTTTTCTTGGATAATTTTGTCGATCGACTCAGGGATAGCTTTTCCGATAAAAACTGAGAGACGCCTGATTTGCATTCTGCTTTAAACCATAAATTAAGCACTTTATTTCTAGACGATTTGCAAAATATGAACAAAAAATATTCAATGCTTTAGAAACAGGACACTTTTTTTTGTTTTCGTAATTTGCAACATCATGTGTACATGCAGTCATAACACATTGACCTCAGGCGGCGATCAGCTGTAGGTATACGCGGCCGGTAATCACACGTTGCCGCTGTTACTACACTCGAATCGAACGAAATATGTTGATTATTGCGTCATCAGGATGAAGGACACTCGTTTTTAATTAGTTCATCCAGTGAGTACAGTCAGTCGGTCCTTAGCCACCGCGAATCGCTGAGTGTTATGCCGTTCTGTGTCCTTGTGATGATGAGATGCGCTCACAACAAATTATCGTAATGATAACATTGTTGTCGTCGTACATCGTTGTCGTAACATGCTAGAACGAGTCAATTCCGACCCAACATTCATGAAACGCATTTTTACTGGTGACGAGACGTGGGTTTACGAGTTTGACATGCAAACTAGTCAACAAGCTTCGGAGTGGCGCCTTCCAACTGAACCGAAACCGAAAAAACCACGCCAGTCTATCAAATTCAAAGTCATGTTGACTATTTTCTTTGACTATCGCGGTGTTGTGCACTCGGAATTCTTGCTGGAAGGTCAAACGGTAAATAAAGAATATTATTTGAGCGTTATGCGGCATTTAAGGGAGCAAATTCCACGAAAAAGGCCCGATTTGTGGAAAGAAAATTCTAGAATTTTGCACCACGATGATGCCCTTCGCACAAGGCCATCATTGTGAACGAATTTTTGACCAAACAGACAACAAATACCATCGAGCAACCACCATATTCACCAGATTTGGCTCCAGCCGACTTCTTCCTTTTTCTTAAACTCAAATTACCACTTCGTGGCCCGTTGTCAATCGGTAGAAGACATAAAGGAGAATTCACGGCGAGAACTGAACTCAATTCCGGAAACAGCGTTTAAAAAATGTTTTGATGGTTGGATTATTCGTTGGCGTAAGTGTATCGTTTCTGAAGGAGCATACTTTGAAGGTGATAGGTAAAATAAATTTGGATGAATAACAAACATTTTGTGTATTATTGATCTTTTCCCGGTACTTTCTTGATAGAGTAGTATTTTTAATAAATTGAATTTGTGAAGTAAGTGATTATAGGTATATTATATAGGCGCCGGCGGCGGCGTCGCTTTGATGTCGCCGACATGGCGACTCTGCCGTCTACACTTCACCGACTCATGTTCAATGCTGTTCTAAGTCGCCAATTATTTGATTGTATTTATTTTGTTCTAAGTTTGCATTTATGTACTTTCGTACTATATTTTTTTTTATTTTAACCGACTTATATTGAACCGTGTTACATGTTATTTCATTATTTGTGATTACTTTTAGGACACTCGTTATATCCGTGTGGTAAGACATTCGGTATACAAAGTGTCACCACCCTTATTCCTCTGTTTTCCTCTCGAGGCGACTCAGGGGGTCAACTCGGGAGGAAAACTTGAACCGATGCGATGTCCTTTGATCCCCTCACTTTTTACGAAGTAGTACAATTGCGAGCTAAGGACCGATTTACAAACAGAGGTACTTTATACGACATATCGTCATTTTTAGTTTACTTCTGTGTAAATACAAAATTAATGTTTCCTTTTGTCACATTTCACCTCATGGGGGGTCAATATTTTGTAAGTAGTAAACGGTGGTTGTCGGTCCAGGGTCGCAGAGGCGGCGCGGCGCGGCGGGGGAGGGGCGCCGCAACTCCATCTTCGACCAGAGCGAGGTGAGCGCAGCCTCCGCGCGGGTCGTGCGCCCGCTCCTCGCGCGCTCGCCCACGCCCACACACCCCATCTCGCGCAAACATTCTGAAGGTGAACTAGCAAACCATTGCATTCGAATCACTGAAATCGCAATAATAAGACACTAGAAATGAGTTAGCGCCGATCACTTTCAAAACCGATGTCGCCACATCTCAACACATACACAAAATATAAACAAATAGATATAAGACTCGCACTTGCAAAACAACGGTGAAATGTATAGGGCACAAACTATTAGGAACCTTAAATTACAATAATTACATTGCATTTTACTCTAATGTATTATATGGCACCACTACAATATCGTTCGATGTATGAGAATGCCCGTAAAAATGCTAGGGATGGACTAAATTTTTCGAAGAGGTCGATATTTTTTTTACGAGTAGCAATGAAAACAACTTTTTTAAATATTTTTGACAGTGATGATACTTATAAATGAATGATACGTATTATTTAACATAAAGCTATGCTATAACAGTTAAAATACTTTATTAATGCAGGTTACAGCGTCCACTCATGAAAAAATAAAAAATTCTTATGACTAATCATTATTTAAAAAAAAACACGGAAACACAGAAAATAATAATAAGCTACTACTGAATAAACTACTAATAGTTCCTTCACTTAACAATTAGATTTATATGAATGTATAAATAAGTAATTAAGAAGTACCAAAGTAATGAACAGAGCAGTTTATTTTTATATATTTACATAGTGGTCAACTATGTCATACCCTTGTTCCTAACACATGTTCCAAAATATAATTAATTACATAAACAAGTGTCTCAAACAGTTGATATTATCAGTAACTCTACGAAATGAATTTATTGAACTGTAAAATGAAGAAACTTATTTAAAAAAAATCTTTTATATCAGGAATTTTTGGAAATCTACAAATTAATGGTTAAATTAATAAGAATATTTTACCTGCATATATGGCTTAGTTTTTTTACGTTCGACAATCTGAAAAATATTTTTCACTAACATCGATATAAACTGTACTTTCATTCAAATGAATTTACATGTCTAACTGGCGACCGATGCCAGGAGCCGTGTTATAAACACACGCAACGCAACGATATCTGATGCTACACATTACATTGCTTGGCCAGCTCCTCAACACCGCGTGCAACAACAACAGAAGCACCAATGGTCACTGTTCAAAACGGAAAGTAATAAATGAATTGTTAACAAGGCAGATATCTTATTAAAGTACTAGCTGACCCGCGCAACTTCGTCTGCGTCTCTCAATAGTAATAATTTTTCTCCGTTTTTGAAACATTATTCATTGGTGCTCCGCTCCTATTGGTCTTAGCGTGATGATATATAGCCTATAGCCTTCCTCGATAAATGGGCTATCTAACACTGAAAGAATTTTTCAAATCGGACCAGTAGTTCCTGAGATTAGCGCGTTCAAACAAACAAACAAACTCTTCAGCTTTATAATATTAGTATAGATTCATCAAGATGTAAATTAGTAAAAACAATGATTTATTAGTAACAAGTAAAGTTACCGGTGAAACGCCTTTGTTAGTTGAATGACACGTCCCTGATGCGTTTTCACAACCAATTATAATGTAGTTCACCATTTTAACAATATAAGTTCACATTCAACTAAATCACGAACGGTGTGAATTTCTGTGTGTGGTGTTCGTGTACGCGTACACAACATCGCGGCGCCAAGGTGAAGCGTCTACGCGACTTCTATTGTCTTATTAGGATTTCAATGATTCGAATAGACACATCATTATTTTATTCTCGTAAATATTAGATATCGATAACAGTGCGAAGCTTCAATATTCATGTACGTGTGTGTGACGGTCGCAGGCGCGAGCTCGCCGACGCGCCGCCCGCCCGCTCGTGACGTGACGGCCGCGACACGAGCCCCGGGACGCGACGCACCCGACGCTGAAGGTATAGACATCAGAAATCACCATAAAACTATAGTTTATAAATCCTCAGAGCGCGTTTATCTAGTGACAATGTCCGCAGGCGCAGGCGGCGCGGGGCGGGGGGCGCGCTCCACGCGCAGCCGCAAGCTGTTCAACCCCAAGCTGGTGCTGTGACCCGCCCGCTCTGCCTGTGTACACACACACGCGCACCAAACATGTAAACATGTACACGTGGGGGATGTCCCGGATCTATAAACGTGTATATCTGCGGATACGGATGTGGGGCCTCCATCTATCTACCACTATGTATTTAATATAATTGGTCCATTTAGAATATTGTAAACTTAATACAAAAATACCAGATAGGTTTCAGTCCAGGTCTGCAGGCTGTCCAGGTCTATATACACATACTGACCCCTTTAGTCACCTCCTTGGTGTATAGAAAGTGATGCTTACGTTATGTTCGTAGTGATTTATGATTGTTAAACACTAACAGCGGCCCGTGGGGCCCGCCGGGGCAGGACTCGGGCGCAGAGGCAAACATATATATATGCGAATCTCTCAGCTCATTTGATATCGGGACTACGTTTATGTCCGATAGGTGGAGCTAAGGTCGTTTCTCTTGTAGATTACAGATTATTTGTACAATTGTAATGGAAGTATGTAAATATGATATATTGAATAGTTGTGGACTCATCGGTAGCGACTGGTGCTGGTAGTGGCCGCAGTACAGATTGAATCATGCTGGCTTGTTAAATCGTTAATATGTATGTTATTGTTAAACGTCAATAATTATGTTATATTGTGTTTGTTTGTCCGTCACAGCGCTGAGTGTTCTCTCGCACCACACTTTATTGTTATATAACTACACTTATTTTAACTATTTTCGAGACAATGATCACCTCGAGTACTGGTCAATTTTTTTCACTTTGATTAAACTAAAAGTAATCGCACTGACGAACGATAAACAGAATGATTTAAAGAAAAAAGAATGTTTAAACCGTGTTCGAAACATCACCTAATGGTTTATTACTGGTACTCTAGTAAGAATTGGTTGAGTTTATAATATATGGCATAATAACGGAACATGGTTCATGTAACCTTCATTTGCTCTAAATATCATTTAGTAACAATCAATTGTGTATAACATCGTACTGAGGTTATACACAATTGATTCACCAACAAAACAATAGCGTGGCTCTGGCGCTGTCTTTGCGCGTAAGTGGTCACTGTTCTAACCAGTGAGTTAGAACAGTGTTCTGTTTTGACTTCAACTTAATAAATAATTATATGTAAATAAACTGTGATTAAATGATTTATCGTTTTAACTTTCTTATTTAGTCTACAAATATTGAGCACAGATAAATCAACAGTAGTTGAGTGGTCCCTCACTTCAATCAACCTTAGGTTCATATATCACGGAGAGCGCTCCGAGGAATCGTTCGGACTAATACCGGCCGCAACCTTCTGCTATCGCTGCATCGTTCATCACCACTACATTTTGTATTGGAACCACTTGGATAATTGGCGCTCCACCACTGTGAGCTTTTCAGGACACGTTGCCTCGCACAACTAACGTGTGGAACAAGTTATCGGCTGCGGTATTTCCGGACCGATACGACCTTTAAACCTTTAAAAAAAGAGCGCACTCCTTCCTCAAAGGCTGGCAACGCGCTTATGACTCCTGAGTTACTGGCGTTCATGGGCGGCGGTAATCGCTTTCCATCAGGTGTCACGTCTGCTCGTTTACAATAACACAATTTACAATTAAAGTTTATATTTAAAGCAATACCTAATGGTAACGAAGGAATGACGGGTACATTGTGTTACGATTAGTGTGCCGTAGGTCGGTGATACTCTTACAGAAGTTAATTATTGGCTATTTCTAAGCTCGTTTTAATGTTTATTTTATTAAATATTCCACCACTGAGGGTGGGCAATAAGAGATCAAGACTACAGCCCTTTAAGCGCACTGTGTTTGTCGCCAGACACTCGTACATTTCAATGAACTGGCGACTTCTCCGACCACTTTGTGTTTTTTATTTGTTGAACGTTTTTAATCAATTATTGAAATATTGCGGCGTGTTTGTGTGTGTTATCTCTTCCACTGCTCGCTCTCTGTGTTCATGCAAAGTTATAGCACCGCCGACCTCGGCTCGGCGGTCGAGACCGCCACTGGGGCATCGAGGGTCACACGTACATAGCGTTTACACACCGATCTGTTTGTGTGTAACTAGCTTCAGATAATTGTTATTATTGTTTATATATGATACTAGCTGACCCGCGCAACTTCGTCTGCGTCTCTCAATAGTAATAAATTGTCTCCGTTTTTGAAACATTCATCATTGGTGCTCAGCTCCTATTGGTCTTAGCATGATGATATATAGCCTATAGCCTTCCTCGATAAATGGACTATCAAACACTGAAAGAATTTTTCAAATCGGACCAGTAGTTTCTGAGATTAGCGCGTTCAAACAAACAAACAAACAAACAAACTCTTCAGCTTTATAATATTAGTATAGATGTGTAAAGAGATAAAATATTTTAAATATGTTTCACAATAATGTATTGTAAGCAAAGAGTCATCACGACACGTCCGAGCGCCGGTGCAGCAGTCAGGTGAACATGACTAGGGAGCGGTCAATGTTGGACCTTAGAGCTAAGCGGTGGTCAAGCGCCAGGCTCCCCGTGCGAGGGGCTGGTCTGTGCGTGAGGCGCGAGGCTGCGATACAACTGTATGCGTCAGTTCGCGATCGGAACTATTATGTCTTTTTTTTTTTTTTTATTGGGACTAATCCCACCCACACGCCCACCACTGTAACTCCTGTACACCAGGATCCACAGCAGTGACCCACGAACACACCGAGTTATGACACTCGGGAAGTCCCAGGAAGAAATTAAACTGTCTTGGAACCCGCAACGAAATTAATCAGAAGAAAATTGGAGGAGTTGGAAATACAGTAAATCCACTTCCCTCCTTAGCAAAGCGGGAGACAAAATGAAGTAAAATAGGCATACACCCTTTTAAACAGGGAAGCACCACGGCCACAAAATATTACGGGTCCTACATGAGCTATATTTGATTTCTATAATATGTATGGCAGAATCGCCTAAACGCACGGAAATTCACCCTAGTTGACACAAGATCCCCATAGTATACCGCCCCAGATGTCACCTGCAAGCTATTCAGCATTATATTACGTTCATTATACCAAAGACTACATTCCCAGAGGATATGATGAGCAGACTGTTCATAATGAGAGTTAGGTGTTGAGCATTGACACAATGGTGACTCGACTAATTTAAATGAATACAACTTGCTCTTAAAGTTACCATGACCCGTAAGAAATTGAGCGACACAGTGATCCACCTCAAGCCATGTCCTCGACAACCGTTCGCGAACAGATGGAAAAAATTGGTAAAGATGGCGCCCCTTGGATGATTCGTCCCAGCGTTGCTGCCATTCGTCTATGAGGTCATTATAGACATCGGACTGCTGTTGAAGCAATCTTGTAATTTTACCGCGATCCCGCGCGCCCAAGAAATCGCATTCCATGTTTTGTCTTGAATAGTACATGGCTGCACGTCTCTGCACCTCGAGATCGACCGGAAGGACACCTGCCAACACCGGCAAAGCCTCAGTGCTAACCGTCCTATATGCCTTGCACAAAAATATCAGAGCAAGTCGTTGGCCTTGTAACAGTTTGCGACGGACAGCGCCTACGGTCGCCCTATCGGCCCACACAGGTGCACCATAGCACATAGTACCTAAATAAGTAGCTCCGTATATGATCTTTAATGTATTAAATGATAGACCCCATGTCGCAGTTGATACCCTTGTCAATGCACAGAAACTCTTTTTAGACTTTTCATTAACTATTTTAATATGTTCGATAAATGAAAAGTTTCTTTCTAAAACTAATCCTAGATAACACACTGTGGTTTTATTTTTTACAGTAACATTGTCAAATCTAATGCTCGGCGGTGATTTGAGGTTACCTTTTAAAAGTAACTGGAAGGTTTTGTTGGGTGCAAAAGTTAAGCGATTACGTTCACCCCATTGAGATATCAAGTTCAAACATCTATTGGCTAATCTCTCAAGCCCCGCCCTAGTATCAGATTCCACCAGTAATAAGCCGTCATCAGCATACGCGTTCAGAGTACATCCGGATGGTATTGGTATCGTAAGAAAATCGTCGAAGCCGATATTCCACAAGTATGGACCTAGCACCGATCCCTGAGGACATCCCATTGTAAGCGCCTTCGACACAGAATGATGACCAAGTCTTAGTTTAGTTGTACCTTGTGAAAAGTACGAAGAGATAAGGGAATAAATATTTTTAAAACACCCCCGTGATTTTAATTTCAGCAACAGCATGGGCCACCATGCGTTGTCGAAGGCGCCAGATATATCTAAGAAAATAGCCAGCACGTATTGAAATTTTGACTCTGTGACAAACTTTCTAACCGATATAACAGCGTCAGTTGTCGATTTACCCAACGTAAATCCAAATTGTCTATCATGAAATTTGACTCCACCTGGCAGAAGCCGGGGCACTACAAGACGTTCTAAAAGCTTTCCTAACGATGGTAACAATGTGATTGGTCGGTAGGATTTAGGATCATCCGGTGGCTTGTCGCCACTTTTTGGTATTATACGAATATTACCGCACCGCCATATACGAGGAAATATTCCTTCAGCAATGCAACGTTTAAAGACAGTGAAAATCGTGTCACCCGAAAGTTTACAAGCTTCTTTTATCATTTTGTTAGATATTTTATCATCACCCGAAGCCTTGTTTAGCGGCAAGGATCTAATGATACCGAGAAATTCGTCTGAAGATGGTAAATCAGACATTGGAGACAGTGGTGGTTCGATGGCCCACTGCCTGATCTGTCGGTGATGATCTGTGTCGTTTTCCGGTCGATCGTCAGGTACGAGTGAGTCTAAAAGATATTCTGCTGTTTGTTCTACTCCTGTGGTATATCTGTTATTAATTTTGATGTTCTGTATGTATGCGTGGTCGATTGATCTATTTGCCTTAAATTCGTGATACAAAGGTGACCACGGGCCCTCTCTATCGAGTTTATTAACAAGTTTCTGAATTAAGTTTCCCTTGGATTTTTCCACAGCAGCTCTGTAGTGGGACCTGGCAACTCTAAGAGCAATGAGA